CTCCTATAAAGTTTCAGGTTAAGGAAAAATTGATAATGGATGCACGTTGTGAACTTTTTCCAAAAGTTAATAGTTTTTGTTAAAGTCCCCTCGATGCCGCCCACCACTGTTAGTCACTACTCATAAACTGCACTTGTAATCCCAAGATTTACTGTTTTGAATGATCGACAAAGTTATAAAATTCTTCATTGAGTAATCATGACCTTATATGACTGAGGTGCAAGTGGTCAGTATGCGGTGTGAAGCTCCAAACATGTTCAAACTGAATAGCATGCAAATCGCACTACGACATTGAATTAGCGCAACCATCATATTCGTTGGATATATTATCAAATCTGAGCCACTGACTGCACTAATAATGAGTCTTGAGTCCGTTCTTGCACCCGACTTCGAAGCAACGGTTTGGCATTGATGAAACAAGTGAAAGTAGCAGCTCATGGGGGACTTGGCTCCATTCACGCAAAACGGCAGTTTTGAGGTCATCCACGGATAATATTGCCTGCCGACAAAGTAAACACGACGAGCCAGGTATCCCCAAAGGTTTTCAATAGGGTTTAAATCTGGCGAGAGCGCAGGATGATCGAAAAAATCGACACCTTGCTCCGCCAGAAATTCTTTCACACAAACTCCTCATTGAATTGATGCACCATCCTCCATAAATTTCATAGGGTAATTGTGGTTCATGTGACGATATGATAACAAGTAATTAGACAAAGTGTCAACATACTTGTCCGACGTTTGGTTGCCGTCCAAAATGGCCAATTCCGTAAGACCATTGGTAGAAAATCCACCCCAAATCATGACACCCTTTCCGCCATTCTGACGCGTCATAAATGACTCGAGCTCCTTGCGCAGATCATGCCAAAAATACTGAAAGCCGTCGGGTCCGTCCAAATTGAAACGCTTCTCGTCATTCCACACAATATGCGAACATTCAGTTTTCTTGACGACATGCTTCTTGGCGTATTCCAGACGTGCTTGCATGTGCCGTTTTGTCAACTCAGGAGACGCTTCGAATACTTCATCCGCAATTAATTTCGGAAAGTACTTTAACCGTGCGCACAGATACGTCCAAACTCAACGCCCAGCAGATCGTATGGCAGAGAGACCCGTCTTTGAAGCCTCGTTGCGGATTTGCCGCTCCATTCGCTTGGTCATTTTGCTCGCTGTTCGGCCCTTGTAGCGCTTGCCGTACGAGTCAGGGTCAATCAGGACGCTTGTTATCGTCTTCCCGTGGCGGCCCATGAGCTCGGCGATCTCAGAGGTCGACTTTCCGCACCTGCGGAAAGCCACCACCGACGCGACCTCTTCGGTGGTCAGTTTAGAGTTCTTTCCCATAAACCCAATCTTTTTGATGCTGAATATGTATGAGAGGATAGTTATGAATCATGGACAAGTGCTTACACGCCTGCTTTGCCTCTAATACGTGAGAAATTCAAAAGTGACTGAGCTTGCGCAAATTTAATGACGCGGTCGTGAAATCGAATTTTCTGATTTTGGCGCGAGAACTCGCGTTTTGCGAGGCAAAGTTTGCAATCAAGAGTTTCGGCCAATAATCCTGACAGTCTTGTTTGTTTTTGAAGCTCTGATACTTGATTGGAAAAAAATATGCTCGAATATGATGATGCGCTATTCAAGTGGTGCGGAGTGTAGTATGCCCACGCAGGTCCAAATTTCGACTGAAAGGACAAAGACATCAACACCACTATTCGGCCAGAGCGTTTCGGTGAATTCAATACTAAGTAGACGAGAAGTAGACGAGAAAAAAATTGAAGGTTTTCCACATGCGCATGTCGTTGGCAAGTTGTGTCATTTGCCGAAATCAGTTAGAAGCATGGGCTGGGCAGTTCGTACTCACTGACCCGAGGCATCCTGGCGCCGCAAGTGTCCAGCGTATAGTGTGCTAGGCCGACCGCATTGTCCATGCGCTACAACTTCGAATAGTGCGGCCTTTCTCCAACTCCAGCGTCGTGACAGCCACACAGTACACGCATATCAAAACGAATAGGGCTCTCGTGCGTGATCGTGCCTGATTCTCGGAGTAGCACATGGTAAGAGGAATGTTTTTAAGCCAATCAAACATTGTATTTATCTGCACACTGAATGCAATTGACTGTTAATCAAGCAAAATTGCAATTGATTGGACAGAAAACCGCGGATTCTGTTCAACATGTCATGGTTAGTATTACTAAAATATCTGGAAGGCAGGATCGCAAACTGTCGGTCTCTGTAAGAGCGATGAGCTATGGACACCATCATGAGGGAATCGCCCGAAATCCATCATCTGCAGTGAAGGAATCGTCATGGACACGTATATCGTGCTTTACCCTGAGCTTCCCGTTGTATGATGACCTGCAGGGCTGGTTTGGTGCGGGTAGCGCGATGTGGGAATTATGTTGCACGATTCCGGATAAAGGTGCTTAAATGAACAACGCCCCAAGTTGAAAAACGGCAAGGGCACGGCTGGCGGCGACTGGGCGATGGCGTCTTCCATGTGCATCGAGTGCGAGGACACCGAGGCCAGTCTTTCGTGCGTAGAATGCGCTGACTTGTACTGCGATCTGTGCTTCCAAGCACAGCACCGGTCGGGGAGTCGAATGCGACACACGAAAACGATGCTTGAAACATCTCCTGCTGCGGCGGCGCTGAGTCCACCCATCGAACTGCCGATCGTCGACGTAGCGCCGATTCAAGTGGATGAAACCATGGAAGACTTGTCGATGGACGAAGCTACCCTCGCCCGGGAGACGCAGTTGATCCTCCGCCGAGCCAAGGTCATGCCGATGCGACTAAGCGACAGCGAACGAGTGCTTTTCAACCTCCTCGACGCTGGACTCAACGTGTCCGAGTACACGGACAAAGTTGACATTCTGTCGTATCGATCTCCCGTCAAGCGCATCTTGACCGAGCTCACGGACTTGTTCAACATCATGTCAGGAATGCTGGTAGCGAGCGACTTTCGCAACGGGAAGAAACGTATTGCCGGACAGAAGTACCATGGCAACGCTGATTTTTTCAAGTCCGTGTTCGAGATTGGCCGCCGATACAAAATCATGAACCCAGGTACTTGGAGTGGGTTCCTCGACACTTGGATCTCAACGTTGGTGGTAGAACGCATGCGCAACAACTATGGCAAGATGATCTACCTCCTGCAAGACGCGAGCATGCAGGAGATTGAAGATCACTTTGAGTTTAGCTGCATCGAGCCAACACACACTGTCCACTCGTTCTTGGAGGATAGAGACGGCCTCGACCTGCTCCAGGACGCCGACGTCCCCGTGGCGACGAGGTCGCTGGCCGATTCGTGCGGTGCCAGCCAGCGTGCGACCAAGACTGCCGCGATCGAAGCTATTGTGTCTCGGTAAGCTTGACGGAATCGTTGCCACCTGTTGCCAACGAGAAACGACGGTGTCTGTTGTAGCCATGCGACCGACAAACTGACTGCCGACGACATTCGCCGCGTGCTCAGCTCGATCGATGACAACAATAGCTACCTCGCGCTCAATTGCACTCCCATCTCGCGCATGCAAGCGTACTTGGAGCAGTACTTTCAAGCATCTGCACCATTCAGCCTCGAGATCCGCGCCGGCAAGAACGGCGCCCGGTTGAGCCATTCGCACAAAACGCAATATGCGTACGCGATGCAGTCGCTCGCGCTATGGAAAAACATCACGCTCGAGATGTTTCCGCTCTGGTTTGCAGTTGAAGAAGACTTAATTCATGGTGGCGGCTACCGCCTCCGGGTAAGAAGAATTGACCTTCGTTTCAAATTGGATAACTCCATTGAGATCCATAGGACACCGGCCAAGGACTCAACCGCATGCAGCGCGCCCCGCACACGTCCCAGCTCATCCATGCCATCCTCGCGCATACTCAGAAGACGTCCCCCATGGGCTGGGTCGGGTCGTCTGCCATTCACTTGGGCGACCACAACGTCCCAAACGCGCTCATGTTTATCGATAAGTACACCCAAGTGTCGCGGATCTTGAGCCCCATCGTCCAGACGTGCGAGTTTGTGAGCCGCATGCAGCACGACGCGTACATTCAGGGTCTTGGTGGCGCCGAGTTTGTCCGGCAGTCGATTCTGGCCGACTTTTTCAAGCACGCGTTCGACGGAAGCGGCGCCGACAACTTTTTCGACGCCGGCTCGTGCATCGATGGACGCCTCACAAGTGCGTGGAACTGGTGCTCCAAAATCGAGAAGAAGCCGTTTTACCACGTGTTCCTCATGGCCGGGTTCGTCGGGTTTGACGGAAGTTTTGAAAAGTAAGCGGGCTCAACGTGCTCGGCACGCGCACCCGCATGGACGATGCGATGGGTAGGAGAAAGATGCAGGCCGTGAGGACGTCAGGCAAGAGCGCTCATCGTGTTAAGCACCCCTATAAATAGAAACAGTTGTGGACAAAGCCACGATAATCTGGAGATGAAGGATGCAGGGCACAAGTGGCACGACCCAAGTCGACCATGGCCACCGCCATAGACCATCCTCCAGACAACGACCAAGACCAGAGGCAGGGGTGTCGCGTCTCCGCCGGCTCCCGTCCCCAAAAGTTAAACAAGGGAAGGCCGTCGTGCTCGAGCCGCTTGCCATGGCCGTGGACCCGCCCGCTCCTCCAGACATCCTCCCTGCTGCTTCGAAGTCCCCCTATCGCCTCTCCATGCAAAACGACCAACGTCAAGATGCCGAGTTCGCGCACTTGGTGCAACTCGCCCAGGCAACTCTTCGATCTCAGGATGACGCAGTTGACGCGGCTGCGGCCGTCGCCGCAACCCTTGCCCACGTCGAGCAGCGGCACTACGCATCGCTGACTCTGCGAAAGCAGCACGTGCACATCTTGCAACAGCTCGAGCTCGAGTTGGAAGCGCTGGAGCGAACGATGGGCAGCTCACGACAGCAGTTCAGGAGTATTGGAAACCAGCACTTGCACGTGATTGCCGAGCAGTTGCTCCACCATACACAGCCATCCTTGACGTCTTCACGTACGGTCTTGGACGAAAGCAGTGTGGCCATGCATCTCCGGGAAGCTGGCGCGGCGTACAAGAAGGCCGGGGATCAGCGGTACGCCTTCAGTCACGCATCGCCCACAACGTGCTCGACACCACAGCTCAACCTCTGGTGCGAGGTAGACACGAATGCATGCCAGTGTTGACGCACAAAGCACACGCCGATCGATGCTATCAAGAGTCCATCGCGTTAGTTCGGAGGGGCGATGACTTGGATGCAGCAGTTGAGCGCATGGCCGACGCCGCAACCGCATACGCTTTGTATCGACAGTCGCCGCTCTTTGATCAGTGTCAACTCGTGCTGTCCGTGGCGGCGGCCGACGTGGCGTGGTCTCATGTACGTAATGAGCATTCCCAATCATCACATGTGGTCGTCATGCTATCTCTTGCCGAAGAATGCTCTCAGCGACGCCACCGACAGCTTGGACGAACGCATCAAGAGCGCGCATCCCGATTGCGTCGTAGGAGAAGCTCGAGCGTGCATGCTGGAAGCTCTGGAAACGGCCAAACATGGCATCGTGGCGAACGGTGGCCAATACGATTCGACGCTTCTGCAGCACGTGCGCCGATGCAATCAATACATGGCGTGGTTGGGTCGCCACAGCCCAGCGATACTCGCTGCCACGGGGGTCACCCCTGCGGTCACGTCGATGTTGGAAAAGAAAGTGCACAAGGCCAGCATTGCCCATAGTTGTCGCGCGCTCCCAACACGTACCGAGTATGAGTTGGATCAATTGATCGGGCACTGGATCGCATTAGCCAAAGCCGACGTCGACTTGGCGACTGTGCTCGTGACAGAGTCGGCGTTGCAACAAGCTGCGGCCGCAGCTCTACATGCAGCGCAGGACACGCACTTCCCTGCGCTGTTGGTACTGAGTGACACACTGATCGCTGCGCTAGGAGGTATTGCATTCGTTGGGACACATTTGCCCCTCGTCACTCCATTTTGTGTGTGAGGTAGCTTCGATGCCAGCCGCGTTCACTTCATCCTGGCTTCAATTGCTCTGCCAAATGACCACCGCCTCTATGTCCAACGTCGCCATCATCCCGACCTTGCTGCGCCATCTCAAGCAGCTGCTGACGTCTAAACAGCTCGTGCACGTTGTCACGAAAGCCGGGTTCGTGGCGTTGGTCCAAGTGCTGCGCGACGGAATGCTTGGCCACCAGGACATTATGCGCTCGGTCGTCGAAGTCGTCGCCGCCTGCATCGCTCTGCATCCCAAGTGTTTCAACGATGAGGCTCACCACCGCATCGTTGTGCCTTGCTTCTGCGCCGTCTTACTTCGATACGCGAAAACGCCGCCATTGGTCGCGGAAGCTATCCCAGTTCTCATCTCCCTCTTTGCCAACAGCAACCTGCCAGCCTCCAAGGCTGCCGATTGCCAACTGGTCAGCGCCTTCGTGCCGGCGCTGGCTTCGTGTGGCCCGCCATTACGCAGCAGTGCATTGCAGCTATTCCGAGACTTGGCTTCAGCCGACAAGCGCGTGTTGGCGCAATGTCGACAACATCGCACAGTCCTCCTGGCTGCGTTCTCGCAGCTCCCACCCGACGATCCGATGTTGGACTTTGCAGATCAGCTCAAGGCATAACATTCGTATCCATGCGACGCATGATCTGCTGCCCACGGAGGACCAGAGTTATGGCGTTGTCCATTATATTGCTGAGGCTTGCTTGCCCGTGTGATGTGCTTTGATTTTGGCCGTGAGCTGCTCGAGGGCCAGGCGCAGTGTATTGGCGTGATCGTGAACCGACCGGAGGACGGCCTCGCTCTTTGCCGACGCTTCGAGGGACTCTGCCTGCATGAGCGCTGTGAGAATGGACGACGATTGCGCCATCAAACTGCCGAGGGAAGTCGAGTCTTGCGCATCTGGCGGTACGGGTTTCAGGGCATCGACCGGCATAACTCGGGCATGTGGTGCGTGGGGCGTTTGCTCTGCACACGGAGCGTGGCAAGACGTTGGGTTCGGGTGGTTCCGTAGCCGTGATGTGACGCTGTCGAATAACAATTGCCCATTGCGAGATGACATATCGGACTGATGAGAATTGTAAATATCCGATGCGCCGACGGCCAAGCGCCGCACGCGCAACTGGTGGTCGTCCAGAACGTGGCAATGGCCGTGATTCGCAGAGTCCCATTGAGCCATGATCCGCGCTTTGGACTCGACAGTGATCGCCCACGTTCGCGTCGCTTTGACCTTCGTCGCGTTGAAACTGAACGGACAGTCCAAACGTTTGCTTTTGGAGCGTCGTGTCTTGACCCCGTCCCTCTTTGGTGTCGGTCGACCGCCAAGGTCGCAGCGGTACTTTTCTACATCAACGGAGCAACGTAATAACGAGGATGGGGCGGGCAGATTCCACCACGTACGTGTGCAGATCTCCTTGACAGCACGCCCATCCACGAGATCCACGCGAGATTTCCGCGAGCACTTGACCATGGGCATGTGAAGCCGACTGAACGACGACAGGATGTACTCGTCGAACGCATCCTTGTTGGGCGACGTGAACTCGAGTATACACGTAATGTCCACGGGCTCATTAGGAGATGCACTTGTTTGCGCAGGAGGTGCAATCATCGCCGCCACGGCCGCCGCCGCGACGGATTCGTCGCACGGAGATGTCATCAGACCGGCCAATGCGTTGGTTCCATGCACTCTTCACAAGAACGCCCACGGGAAGCTTGGGGAATTTTCGAAATAAAACGCGTTTAAACAATGACCTGAGTAAGTACGGCAAACGAAAAAGTTGTACGTATGCCGTGGTCCCTGGCCGCACCACCGTCGTATCGAGGACTGCGTTCGCTAATTATACATAGCGTTTCTCGGTGAGATTGGTACGAAAACGGAGAAAAACTATCCTAATACTTACAGTCTATTCAACGGAAGAGGATTTGCATGGCACTTGCCCTGCTAAGGGCCCTGATGCAATGGAGGCGAAGAAGCGTCACTGTGGCCATGGACACTGCAGCCGGTTGAAGTCCTTGAGTCGACGGTTGAAGTACGCACTTAAGCGAACTTGAAGAACTTTAACGCATACGTTTTATCTTCGGGGTCACCCTTTTTGCACCCCACAGGGACTTCAGCTGTCATTTTTGGATTTGACGATCACCAGCAACATGCGATCCGCCTTGCTTCGAAGTGTGGCGCTGCGTCCGTCGCAAAAGGCACATGTATGCGCCAGGATCCATCTGCACTTGTGCATTATTACGATTGTGGTGGTTACGAAGGTCGTTGTATAGATGCCCATGTGGATGGCCGCGTTTTCGTCAACAACGGAACCTGTGACCCCTGCCGCGCGCAAATTGGCATTCAAGAAGAAGCTCGACGAAACGCGTGCGCAGGCGTTGCTGGGAGGTGGGATCAAACGCCAAGAAGCCCAACACAAGAAGGGAAAGCTCAGCGCCCGTGAGCGCCTCGAACTGTTGTTGGATGAAGGCACGTTTCGTGAATATGACATGCTCAAGACCCATCGATGCAAGGACTTTGGCATGGAAGACCAACAGTACCCTGGTGACGGTGTCGTGACCGGTCACGGTCTCATTAACGGCCGATTGACGTACGTGTTTTCCCAAGATTTCTCCGTCTTGGGTGGCAGTTTGTCGGAAACGTACGCCGAAAAGATCGTCAAGGTCATGGACAAGGCGTTGAAGATGGGTGCGCCCGTGATCGGATTGAACGACTCCGGAGGTGCCCGTATTCAAGAAGGTGTGGCGTCCCTTGCCGGGTACGCTGACATTTTCCAGCTGAACGTCATGGCGTCCGGCGTCGTGCCGCAGTTGACCATGATCATGGGGCCGTGCGCTGGCGGTGCTGTCTACTCGCCCGCCATGACAGACTTTGTCTTTATGTGCCGCGACACGTCGTACATGTTTGTCACGGGCCCGGATGTCGTGAAGACTGTCACGAACGAAGAAGTAACCCAGGAACAGCTCGGCGGCGCCGTCACCCACACCAAGACGTCCGGCGTGGCGCATAAGGCGTTCGACAACGACATCGAAGCTCTCCGTGAACTCCGCCGCTTTTTTGACTTTTTGCCGCTCAACAACAAAGGTACAGCTTCGTTTTTCCCATGCGTCGTAATTTCACCGCTCGTTCCACAGAAAAGCCACCCATCAAGGAGACCGACGACGACCGCTTCCGCCCCGTCCCGACGCTTGAAAGCATCGTCCCGCCCGACCCGAACGTTCCGTACAACATGCACGACGTGATTCACCAACTTGTCGATGACGGAGACTTCTTTGAAATCATGCCCGCTCATGCCAAGAACATCCTCGTCGGTCTCGCTCGCTTCGAAGGCCGCGTCGTGGGGATTGTCGCCAACCAGCCCATGGAACTGGCCGGCTGCCTCGACATCAACTCGTCCGTCAAGGCCGCACGCTTCGTCCGATTCTGCGACTCGTTCAACATCCCGCTCGTGACGCTGGTCGACGTACCAGGTTTCTTGCCCGGTACGGACCAAGAATACCACGGGATCATTCGCCACGGTGCCAAGCTCTTGTACGCGTACGCCGAAGCGACCGTGCCCAAGATCACTGTCATCACGCGCAAGGCGTACGGTGGCGCTTACGACGTCATGAGCTCGAAGCACTTGCGCGGCGACGTCAACTATGCGTACGAATGCAAACCCCCGCGACGGATTCTTCATCGACTACGTGGACTATAGGTGGCCATCCGCTGAAATCGCTGTCATGGGTGCCAAAGGCGCGGTCGAAATTATCTTCCGCGGCCAAAATGTCGAAGCCAACACGGCCGACTACGAAGAAAAGTTTGCCAATCCCATGGTACGGTCACGTCCGTGGCGACGATGACAAATTGGATGGCTGATACACGTCATGTGCAGGTGGCTGCCCAGCGTGGTTTCGTCGACGACATTATCGAGCCCACAACGACACGTCTCCGAATTTGCGAAGACTTGGATGCGCTCCAGACAAAGTCGCTGCAAAACCCATGGAAAAAGCACGGCAACATTCCTCTCTAACGTGCCCGACCGGCATCGTCTGCTGCGGCACCGCAGCAACATCAATCCAATATATCTACCAAACCCGTGTTCATGTGGCACGTCGGTCATCGTGCATCGATCGGCGCTTCCACACACACAGACGAGTGGCTCCATGTCGATATGTCGCGTGCTTTGATGGAATCGACGAGATCGCATGTATTCGACCGTCATGGCGTGTCGTCGAAAGCAACGACCATCGCAAACAAATTGTCGCTGCTGCCATGGACAAACGCTTCGATGACGACATCGGCCGCGATCGCGTACAGGTCGTCGCCGTCCACGACGATGCGGTCGGATACAAATCGTCCGACGGCGGCGTTGTCCATTGTTTCCCACACGCCGTCGGATGCGACGACGAAAAAGCCCGTCGGCGGCAGGTTGACGTGGGAAATGGATGGATCGCAGCTCACGTACTGGCTCAAGTGTCGGTCGCCGAGTGTCCGCGATACCGCCAGCTGCCCCATGACGCGCCACACACCGACATACGAGACAAACCCTGTCCATTGCATCAGAGGGCGACGTGGGCGACAATGTGTACCTCCACTCGACTCGATTCGTCGGCGCTCGTCTGGGTCGTTGGGCGAATGGTCTTGAGTCAGCTGCATGGCATCGACATGCATCGAGCTTGGCTCCTGGCCATCCATTTGTGTCGGCGGCGTGTACAGCACAGCGCGAGAGTCGCCGACGTTGGCCACGACGAGCCGCCGTTCCGTTCGAAAATGCACTATCAAGGTACACGTGGTCCCAGAAAAGTCGTCCTCCGCCGCCTGTGCCATGAATGACGCGTGAAGATCGGCCAGAGTTTGACGGATCGCGAGGTCTTCCAGAAGGTGTCGCTGCGCCAACGCGTTTTCCTGCGACGACTCCATGTTCCGCATGACAATGTCGACGAAATGAGCCGCAAACGTCGCCCCAATGTGCTGCCGAACATAGGTAGCGGCCCCCAGCCCCATGTGGCCATCCAGCACCACGTACAGGTCGTACCCGGACGCTGGGTTCGCCTGACCACACTCGTGAAGCCATTAACCCTCGAGACGAAGCAGCCGGCACCTCAATGACGAACGAGTCTTCCATGTACCGACGGCGGCCATTAAACATGGCGTATCCATGGGCAAACGCGGTCGAATCGACGATAACTCGCGGCGGGGAGAGTTGCGCGCGAAGGCCGGACGCGGCATAGCGACACGTTGACTGGTGTGGCGCCGCGTGGCGCCGTGCGTGGAGGTGGCGCGTACACGCGTCGACGCTCGAAAACTGCCGACCACACGGACAAAAGTATGTGTCGGGGAGGTCGTAGTGCCGCTGGACGAACGACCGGTGCATCGTGCGTTTGGTTTCGAGGAACGCTTGATGGAGGGCCAAGTCGGCCTCTGTCGGAAAGTGCCGACCGGTTTCATTGCACACATACGGGCCTTGAAAGTACGCCTACCAACAACACGAGCAATCCATGTGGGCTTCCAACCAGTGGGGACGCACGTGGGCGAGCGCATCGCGCGCCGACATGCGCTTGGCAGGGTCCCACTGCAGCAATTGCCACAGCAAATGCAAGCCGTACGGGTCTTGGAGACCCAGGCCGAGTGGGTCACGGGATTGAATCGTCGTGTTGAACGTTCCAAAGTTGCACGCGTCGTGGACAAGGGCATAGTCTTCGTGATACCTGGCCAGCGACGGCGGCTGGAAGATGCAAAATTCCGTAAGCACATGCAGCAAGTAGCTCTTGGATCGAGTTGCTTCCGGCTACATGGAGAAATTGCCGTCGTCAAGCCAGGACGACTATAGGCGAGTCCACAACGACACCTTGTCGCGCATATGGGCATCCACTTTCGCCCGGGCCCGAGACGAGATGGAAAAAACGTGCGGCGATCCCAAGAGCAGCTCGAGCGCGACGACACCGACGGACCACATATCGTACGACGTCGGCGTAGCATAGTCGTACGGGACGTCGTCGCCATGAAAGAGCACCTCTGGGGGCTGGTACTCGCGGGTTTCCTCCGCTTGAGTCGGGCCCTTGTCTCCGTACATGTGCGCATGGGTGAACGCATCCACGGCCGACCCAAAGTCTAGCAAGAACGCAAGGTCAATGCGATGGTGGTGTTTGATGCCGCCCACAACCCAGCTGCACCATCCTTGTCGGTTGCCGCCCACCGTCACTCGCACGGACGATTCGAGTGGACAGCGCGCGTCTCGCTCGAATGCCATGCACGCCTTCATACCACCAACGGTGGAAACACGTAGGTACCTGCAAGTTTGACCACGAGATTGTCGTCGTGGCTAATGAGGATGTTGGATGGCTGCATGCGCCGCATGAGCGGTGACTGTCACGACGGCAACCAGCACGTCCTACCTTGATGTCTCGATGCGTGATGCCTCTTTCGTGGAGAGCAGCGACAGCTTGCAGGAGTTGTCGAAGGATTTCTCGGTAGACGCCGGCGCCTTCCGCTTCCGTACGCATCCGTTTCCAGAACAACTGTGGCATGTAAGTCGCACGTGGGGGGTGCCGTGTCGTGACCGTACCGACGGCTCGACGACGACGAACTTTTGAGACTTGGTTTTCGTGTAGATATAGTGGCGCAGCGAAATGCCTTCGTCGTAAAACACAAGCCATAGCTCTTGGAGTGGCGTCCCCGACTCGTTGGTCGCCATGGTGACGGAGTCGCGGTAGAACGATTCGACAAACCTGCCACAAACATCGCCACACCAGTGTGAGTGCACTGCCCGCTGCACCCAACGTGACTAACAAACCCCATCGACACGACTCGACGGGTGGGAACTCAACTACCTTGTTACATGCGGCTCCCCGCGCAATTGGTGGCCAAAATGCGCTTCCCGCTGTCCACTCAAGTGCGTCGCTTCGCCCAACTCCTGCCATCGCATTTCATCGCATGTTCACGGTGTTGAATATGCTTTTGCACACACCACAAACATGCGCTTGAGAACAAAGCCCACACTGGTTTCGTCGTCCTCATCGAAGGTCGTTCGAATCGCGCGCCACACTTCACCATGGGCACCGCCGTCGAATTTCTATGACATGTGGCACTTAAGTCATGCGATGTATCCACTCGACGTCGTCGCCGTACCTTGCGAAGGCGATAGTTTTCGTTCACATAAATGAACTCGATGTGCTCTGTCGAACATTGATACTCGAGCGACGGTCCTTCGACGAGAAGCGGCTCTGGACGGGTGTCCATGCCCAGCTGCATCTGGCTCAACGACATGGAGTACGAAGACGACGTTGCAGTCGTTCGTGTGGCTCGATCGCTTCCGACAACCACCAGCGACGTCGTGTGATGCTGCTCGAACGAGTTGTGGCCACAGATTCCCAGTACAGCAGTCCGTTCAATCAGTTGGTACTTTTGAATGAAATCTCCTGGCGCAATTGACATTGCCGCGACTGCCCAGTTGGACACCAAGTCTGGACGAACGTGAGCGCGGGGTGGCACGTACGTTTGCAGCGAATTCGTTGCAGTTGATGCTTGGCCATTCATCCAGCCATGCTCGTCGGGCCTGCACTGCCAGCGCGGTATATTCAAAAGGTGCATAAATGATTGTCTCTCATGTGGTCGAATGCAGAAGTCCTTCGCACGGACCGCCGCGGCTGCCGCCGCCGCACCAACCCATGCAATCCAGGTCCACCTCATCCCAAATACATTTTATCCGGACATTCGGATACTGCAACGAAACGTTGCGAAAGTCGAAAGTGGACTACCATGGTGTTGTGTCCGACGGCGGCGCGGATGTCGCGGCTCTATATCCTGAGCCTCCTCGGCCTCGTTGGCGTCGATTTTGTGCGTGCGCAGACCTTGGGCGACGTGCCGTTCCGCACCGTCGAAGGTGAGTAACTTTCCCCAGCTTGATTGTCGTTTAATGCTCAACCTTGCCACAGCGATGTGGGATTTCCACGATGGATTGGACAGCTGGGCGCGGTCGTCCACGGACACAATGCATGCAGAAATAGATCCCCGCGGTGGATTCATCCACGGGACTGTTTTGGCCGACGCAGCGTTCGTGGACTCGCCGCTCCTGGACATCCGCATTGAAGATCGCCATCACTTTGTAGTTCGAATGGCATATGACGGCACATGCACGCAAGCGGGGCTTCACCTCGAGCGGCGCCAGTCCCCGACGACGAATCTCAAGGCTCCGTTCGTGAATCCCGTCGTCGTTCGCTTCCCAGTCATGTCGGATGGGTCGCAGCACGTCTACTACACACCACTCTCGCCTTACATCCACGGCGACATATCCCGCATTCGGTTCTTCCCGTGCTTGTCTGGGGGTCGAAAGCAGGGCAATACGTTCCACATCAACTGGATCATGATCGCCAAAGGTGCCTGGTCCGGAGCCACATGCTCCGTCCGTCGTTAACATCTCCTACTAGCGCCAACTGTGACCAAGGTCCGAGGCTGCATTGATCGGTACTTTCAACTGCCGCCGTCGCCAACCGCCGTGCCTTCGGCAAACATCTCGCTGGTCACGACACTTACGAACGGGATACACCCAGTGTATAGCACGATCTTTCGGTCCATGGTCCTCCCTTTTGCGTCAACGTACAACTGCATGGCGGGCGATACGATCACAATTCAAGGCCGCAACTTTGGTGACTCGACGCTCGTCCGAATCAACAATGCACCGTGCCAGAACGACGCGTCTGTGCTAGCTTCAACTCCAGTCTTGGCCGCTGACACAGTAGACGAAGAAGTGGTCATCTGCGTGCTTCCGGCTAAGATGCCCCCAGGATCGGCCGTCGTCACTGTGATCAACGAAGGATATCGTGGGTTGAAGTTCGATGGCTCGCTCGTAGCGTATGCTGGTGAGCATGGCATCGTGTTCGATCGAGATGCCAAGCTATGATCTCCTTCATCTCTAGAGCCCGTCCGTCTGGTCGTAGCCCCATCAGTGTCGAATGTGATGGCGCATGCCGTCGACATTACGTGGACTCCGCCCCTGGTCGACTGGTGGATCTCTTTGACCATCACGGGCTACAATGTCGCTGTGCGCCGCCTCACCGACAACATCACAACCACCATCATGCTCGGGAACGTCACCACAACGACACTGGTGGCGCTGGAGGCTCGCACTACGTACAGCGTAACAGTGGCCGCTGTCGTCGAGTCGCAGGTAGGTGATGCGGTTCGAAGCCTCCAATGCTTCTCGTTACCGCATTCGTGTGCAGAACACACCCGAGTGGCAGAATGTCGACATGTATGGCCAGCGCGCGCCTCTCCCAACAGCGATCATCGGCCTGCCTTCCCCTGCTCTGCTCTTCTCGACGCTGGCCACCGGTATCATGCATTCACCTCGAGACATCATTGAGTCATCCTTGGACGCAACAGACTTTGAGTTTGCGACGTTTTCGGCGGAAAAGACTTTGAACCGTAGTGTTGCCACGTCATCGGCAGCCACACTTGGGCCGACAGGGGACGTTGGAGGCCAAGGGGCTGCCGGGCTCACTCTTGTCGGCAGTGCTCACGTACGAGTTGCGCATTGTCAGGAATATCGATCCCATTTGACATAGGTGGAGCACTGCAACGCGACCAGTGCGTGCTGCGACCTCGCCTCGACCGGCCAAATGTGCATGTTTACGTGCCGGGGAACTCCAAGCGCGCCTCAGCAACCTCCGGGAAGTGCCAAACCTGCAGCGCTGCTGACAGTCGTGACCAACGTCACGGGGGCAGCATCTTCGCCGGCCATGCGGTCATGTGGCCCTGCATTGCAATTGACGGGGTCGGCGCCGTTTTTGACCGGGGCAGCATGGTATCCGCGGCCCCAAAACGTCCGCGAAGGATTCACGACGACCTTTCAGTTCCGCCTGTCGAATCCGTCCGTCCACTGCAAATTCATGGACGATGTGTCGACGCACTGTCGGTACTGTTTTCCAGCACGCCGCGAGCGATTGACTCGAGTGGTAGAGCGCGCGGGGGCGACGGGTTTGCGTTTGTCATTCAAAACCAAGACGGCACTGCAATAGGACGAGGCGGAGCCGACGTCGGGTACGGCGGGATCCGGAATGCCGTCGCGATCGAGTTCGATACGTGGTACAATCCAGACGTTGTCGACGTGTACGAGAACCACGTGAGCATTCACACGCGCGGCCGGATGCAACCCAACTCGGCGCATCACGCGTACTCGGTTGGGTCGACATCTCAGTACGATCTTCCTTTGCCGGTTGAATTGAAAGGCGTGTTCTTGGTGGTAGAGTCGTCGACCTGTCGGACGGAGTGCACACAGTCACGATTCGATACGACCCCGTTCTCGACGACGACATGTACTGCTTCGTCCTCTTCATCAAATGTCAAGGAGCACAACGCGCGTCCGTAGGCCGTTCGCCCCGCATTTCCAAGCGTCGGCGTATGTGTCCGAGTTCTTTGCGGCCCAAGGTGGCAGTAGTCGACCATGGTGGGGAACCGCTGGCGTCGGGTGCCTCCAAGTGACGATTGACGATCGGACGGTCGTGAGCGTCCCGATGCATTTGGACAACACACTCGACCTGACCGGCGGCCGAGCGTTCGTCGGGTTCACGGCGGCCACGAGCGAGACGGCGTGGCAAGTGCATGACATCCTGTCGTGGCGGTGGAGGTCGACCCGGGTCGTTCCACCCGTCGCTGCTGCATACACGGATGTTTGACGAATCTGGTATGGGACATTTCAACTGTGTGATGTTTCTCCAACACGATGTAGAATGGTTGCACATCCCGCGGCGGCGTGACGTGGCCCCTGCCCGCAGCACTGGTCGACAACATAATTGCATGATTCACGTTCTTCTACTGACTTAGTTGTTTCTGGGCTCTTAATGCGCGATGCCTGCCGCGTCCAGCTTGGCTTCCAACGCCGCGACCTTGGCTTCAAGCGCTTGGATGTGGGCGTTGGCAGAGTTCAATTGTTGCTGCAAGTCACTTGGCGCTGCGGAAACGGGTGCGGCGGGGGGAGCCACAGGGGCAGCAGCGGTTCGGTTGACGCGAGCAGGTCGCGCCGTCACGGGTGCGGCGGTGCCGGTCTTGCCACGCGACGTGATTTCACCGAAGTTGCGAGGGTTTAGTGACGACAGGACAGGAGTCTTCTCCGAACCGGCGAGCCATTCGTCGGCCGTGTGCGATGGCACACCAGCGAAGGTGTCCGGGAAGATGTCGTCTTGGAACGCGTCCGACTTGCGAGGCACATAGACATGGAGCGGCTCGACGGCATTGGTCGTGAGCTTGAGAAGGCGCGCCGTTTCGCACGACATGATGTCGCAAGCGCGCTTGGGGACAAAGGCCATCCCGCGAGCAGCTGTCGTCGAGCGGTACTCGGTGAGCGGGTACGCATATGGCTCCGAGTCGTTCATTTCGTAGTATCGGATGTTACCGTCGCCCTTGCCGCACAAGTAGAGCAAGTTGGTGTCGGAGTCGTAGAACGGCATGATGACACCGGCAGCTTGATCAATGTCGACCTTGTGCAGTTCCTTGTCGAGCTTTCGGGGATCCCATACCTTCATGCGGCGCTGGGACTGACGGGAGAACCCGAGCGTGACGAACAAGTTCTTTTCGCCCAGGAAGGACAGCTTGACACTCTTGCTGCCTTCGTGCGCTTGGACAGACCCGGACAACCCACCAGACCGCGCATCGTACATGCGCACGAGCTTGTCCTTGCTGGACGTGATGAGGGTGGACCCAGTGTAGTTCCATGCCAAATCTTGCAGCAGGTTTTCTGTGTTGTGCTCCATGTTCACAATTTCACTGCCCTTCTCGATATCCCACAATCGGACTGTGTAATCGGCAGAAGTGGACGCCAGCACGTTTGCGGCGGTGGGGTGGAATCCCAACAGTGTAACTTTGCGGCCGTGGCCGGTCAAGTCAACGAGGGGTTCGGTCATGGTTTCAGACAACCCGCCTTCGGGAATACCCCACACCTTGATGGTCGTGTCGTCGGACGCCGACGCAATCAAATGTTCATGGAACGGGTTGAAATCAAAGTCCATGATCGCGCCACGGTGACCGCCCACAAGGGGAAAGTCCGAGTCGAATTTCCCCACCTTGTCATACGGGACAACTGCAAACGCGCCACCCCCCGCTTGGATCGCAACGGCAAAGAATTTGGTGTTCGCTTTGATGTAGTTCTGTTCCCCTGTAGCAGTCGCCAAGCGCAAGTTTGTGTAGCACTTCTCGATCTTTGCAGGCTCGATATACACATGGCGGTACTTGGACGAGCGGACGAATTGACTTGCCATGATGGCCACCGCACGACGAAATCGAATGTGAAGACAAACCCCAAATTGACTACGACAATATTTTGTCCAATTAGAATCGATCTCAACAAAATGTACGGCCGTATCATCCGTACGGGACATATACGTACATTCCATCGCCCAGATCTTGTGCAGTTGTCAAGCAAAGGGCTGCTGATAAATAAAATGTACATGTTGACATGGTAAATTGTTGGAGCGAGGTAGTCTGGGGAGAGCTGAGTTCCCCATAGGACGACACTTTTACGCTTTTGCGCGCGTTTGGTAGTCGATTGCGATCCCCCCTGGGCAAAGATCGCTTCGATATGAAGTGGGTGCGCCAATTCGTGGCACGTGATAATCATCCGAACTGGTGAGTCGATGCGTCAACCACGCTCAAAATCAGTGAACCACGCATAGACAAGCACTCACACACAGACACACACCGTCTTCACGAAAGGTTTTGTACAGTCTCGTTCGTTGTATGGGGACGCAATGGCCCATACATTCGCTGCAAATAGAAACGAGGGGTGTCGGTCCCGATGGAGTGTACGGTGGTGTACAATGTACGAATCTTACAATCCTTCAACAAATCGGAAGCGCAGGTTTCACTAGCCAATGAACGACGCCCAAACCTGTATTTGACGGCAAAGGTGCGGCGCACGATGGAGGCATGGGAGGACATCCGCCGATGGACAGTGAAGGAGCCAAACTGGGTTCCGTACGCCATTGTATCGAGTGCCGCCGCTCTTGCCCTTTTGTGTGTGGCGTGTGTTTGCCGAAGGGTGTGTTGCCGACGGACACAGTCCAATTACGAAGCGATCACAAGGGACCTCGACGACGAAGAGCGCGAGTTTGAACTTGGTCTATCCTCAGACGACGACGACGGCCTCGATGTGGGATTCAACGACAAAGAGCTCAAGCAGATGGAAATGCTCGAGGCTTACGGCGTCCAAACGGACGAAATCACCCCAGAGGCCAAAGTGCCGCCGCTATCGCCATCCGCGTCCACAACTTCAATGCGATCCAAGAAAGTCCTCGGTGACAACTAATCTCCAACGTATTTATAATACCCCATCTAGTCTTTCGGGCGACGCCTTACGGGGGTGACCCATGCAACGACAATCCTCTCGAGGTCAGTTGAGTGGTTGACTTCAATCTCCGACGTCGAAGGGTGCTGGTACACCTTCTCGTGTTCGCGCCATGCAGCTCCATGAATATGCATGTTCCTACCGCCACCGCGTGCATCTTCGTCAGCAGGTAGTGGTTCTTCCGACGCATCTACGTGTGTCCGTTCCGTCCGTCTGCGGCATTTCTTTTCTATGCCATCAATCCAGGGAAATATTTATTTATAGAGGTGCTTTTTGTGCGACCTGATTGGTTCATCGTTTGATTGGATCTCCAATCGGCAGTGAGCATCCCGCGACACTTGCGTCATTCCTGGGCGACGCCAGCGGCAGCACCACGATGGACTACGAAGGAAAGCTCTCGAAGGTTGCATCGAACCAGTTGGAGCAAAGCATTCGTGAATCCGAGATTGGTCGGACCAAGCACACGGGCCGTGATGATCGCGCGACGTCGGAACAGGTGCTCGATCCGCGGACCCGTATGATGCTCTATCGCATGCTGAATCAAGGCATCGTCACCGAGATTAACGGGTGCTTGAGCACGGGCAAAGAAGCGAACGTGTACCACGCTGTGCTTGGCAGTGGCGGGGAAGGTGCGATCAAAGTTTACAAGACGGCGATCCTTGTCTTCAAGGACCGCGACAAGTATGTTTCAGGGGAGTTTCGCTTTCGACACGGGTATTGCAAGTCGAACCCGCGCAAAATGGTCAAGTTGTGGGCTGAAAAGGAGATGCGCAACCTGAAACGATTGCGCGATGCAGGAATTCCCTGTCCTGACCCGATCATGCTTCGCTCGCACGTGCTCCTCATGACGTTCATCGGACAGGATGGGTACGCAGCGCCAAGACTGAAGGACGCGCGCATGACCGAGTCACAAGTCCGCAGTGCGTACGTGAGCTGTGTCAAGACGATGCGCGTGATGTATCAAGTGTGCAAGCTCGTGCACGGTGACTTGAGCGAGTACAACTTACTCTACTACAAGTCGACGCTGTACTTTATCGATGTCTCCCAGAGTGTCGAGCACGAGCATCCTTGTGCAATGGAGTTCCTGCGAAAGGATTGCAAAAACGTCACAGATTTCTTCTCCAAGGCGGTACGTCTCTTCTTCTTCTAGTTTTCCTGCTGCGGCGCTCACAAGTTGTCCTTTGCAGGGCTTGGACCCGATGTCGACGATCGAGCTCTTTGAGTTCGTGATCGACCCCCGCGTGTTGTCGGAGGAGGAAGTCGACGGGATCTTGGATTCAATCCAGCTCAGCATCGAGGGGCGATCGGGCACGCGGACGAACGAAGAGCTTGTCGACGAAGCTGTGTTCATGCAAACGTTCATTCCATCGAGTTTGGGTCAGGTGTTGCACTCGGAGCGCGATCAGTTGGCGTACGCGGAAGGTCGCATGGAAAAAACGATCACGTCTGCGATTTCCCGCCTGGACGTGACTCAGAAACAGCAGCCGCGCTTGATGGATCTGCTCAACGTCGAGGAGCTGAAAGACATGGAGGGACTAGATGACGACGACGAAGACGACGAGGACGACGAGGACGACGAGGACGACGAGGATGACGAGGACGGCGGCGACGACGATGAGGACGAGACAGATTCTGAATCGGAAGACGACGACGAGATCCGAACGCAGAAGGCCGCATTCCGTGCGGAGCGACGGGAAGAGCGCGAACGGCTCAAGTTGGCCGAGAAACTTGAAAAGAAAAGCAACAAGAAAAACGTCAAAGAAGAAAAACGGGAAAAACGCGCCACGAAAATCCCAAAACACGTCAAAAAACGCCATAAAACCCTCGCTAAACAAAAGGGCAAAAAATAGGTATATAGGTTTAACTCAATTCAGATGTCGTATCGGCGGCGGTCGTCCACACTTTGACGGTAGTCGGCGCCAACGTCTCTTGGAGGCACGTTGCAGTCACTCGCAACGCTTCCTCAGCGCCTTCCCCGCGGAGAGAGTGCGTCGGGTGCATATATACATGCCTTCGTCCATCGTCAGGCACGAGATGAAACGCATTGTCGCTCCACTTGCCCACGATCTCGCGTGGCCCACGCCATAATGCGATGGTGACAAAGAGCGCTGCAGTCGTCGACGTTTCAACGACAACCTCTACGGTCGAAGCATTCTGAGACGCGATCCTTGCATCGAGTGTGCATGACCCTGGCTCAAGGAGTAAGTTTTTGAATGGCGCAAAAAAAGTGAATTCGCGGCTGGACCCACGGCCATCCACGGCGACGTCAAGCATACAGGTCGTGGGATGGCAAGACGTGTTGCGAAAAAGGTCGGCCAAGTCTTCGTGCCACACGTCACCTCGCGGCTATTCGCATGTTTGCGTAAGTTACGTCCTTTGAACGCATGATGTGTACCTCATTAGAGTGCCAAGTTCCCACAGTTTTGACAACATTACCGCGTGGAAGTGCTCGAAGAACACCGGAGACAACCAGTGGGCGCCGAACGTCATCCCGCCGATCGTCTACGACGGCGACGTGCACCATGGATTGGTTCGTGTACGTCACGGTGCGCACTGGTTCAAAGGCGCGCATGGCTATCGCATGAAGCGGTTTCCATCTACCGTTGGCTTCAATGCTGGACCAGCTCGGACCCACCCACACGTCGTTGAGCTGCCAGTACAGAATGCCCATCACATGCCACCGGCGCCATGTTGAGATAGCTGCGGCGTAGCATGCGGCTTGTTGCAGCTGCGTCACATGGAGCCACTTGGTCATATGCTCCTGCACGGAGTCATCCACGTCCTTGACAGGTTGGTGGAAATGCATGTTCACTTGATGCAAAATGCGAGCGGTGCCGTTGGGTGATCGCTGACGATACGCCAGGAAGCGCTCCATCGCCGCCGTGGATGCCCAGTCCGACGCGTCCGTCACGTCCAGGAGCGCCGACGCGGATGGAAAACTTTGAAAACCAAACTCAGACACGAAGTTGGCCTTGGGCAAGTGCTGCCACTGCATGCAGTCATCAACGACATTGTAGTAGTGCACGTCCCTACGGCGCCTCGAAGTGGAGTCCTCGAAGGATGCAAGGCTGTCATACCCGTGGGCGACGTCGGACGTATTGCCCCATCGCTTGGTGTAGACGGAAGTGTTGAAGATGCCGTTCGAAGGCGACGTGTCGACAAAAGGACGGCTGGGGTCGAGTGACGCAACGAGTGGCTGGAGCGTGTCGACAAATAGCTTGGTGTAGTCGACGACCGCAACGTCACGATTGAATGGCATGTCTTTTGGCATGAACAACCCAGCCGCAAACTGGTCAAACATAGCTTCGTTCTCGTTGTTCCCACCCCACAGAGCTATGCTTGTAAACTTCTGCAGCCGGCGCACCTGCGCTTGCACCTCCATCGCGGCCAGCGATAAAAACGACGGCGTTCGAGGGTAGTTGGCGCATGCAAACATGAATTCTTGCCACACGAGAAGCCCTAGTTCGTCGCAGAGCGAGTAAAAGACGTCGACTTCATAGCGCCCGCCGCCCCACACCCGAATCTATCGATGCATGTTTTCGAATGTCGTGGGGACGTCGATGGAGTTACCATGTTCATGTGCGCCGCTTGAACGCTCTCCAGGAGATGCCGCCGTTTTGCATTGGCAGAGTGCGGGGGCAGGTAAAATGCGTCGATGGGGACGTAGTTGGCTCCTTTGGCAACGATGGGCTGTCGATTGATTTCGAGGAAGAATGTTGTCCCATGAGAAGGTGAATTGGGATGATTGGGATGAGAAGGAATTGGATCTTGGCGCAGTTTTACGTGGCGAATGCCCACACGTCCCAGTTGACAGTGCACGACGGAAGGGATTTTTCCCGGAGAGAGCGACGCAGCGACAAGCGACACGTTCAGATTGTACAGGTGGGGATGGCCATACCCATGGGGCCACCACAGCGTAGGTCGCAACATCGTGTGGCTGTGAATGAGCCAAGCAGGTCAATCAGGTCCATTGAGGTAAGTGTGCCTACCTCAAGTCGACAAAGTCGTGGTGGCGAACCTCAGCTGCGGCCACGAGCTCCCTGTCGAGCGATAGCTCGGCCATGAGCCTGTCGTCACACCCAAGTCCCTCCAAGTAAAGGCGAACTCTTAAGTGAACAGCGAAGCCAGTCGCGTTCGGAAAGTGCTGGTGAACCTCGTACTCTTTGATTCGGCAGCTCGCCGCGGTGTCGCGACCAGTGTCGTCGAAGTGAACGAAGACATGTCCGCGCAAGCCGCTAGTGAGAAATGCTACAGATACATACGAGTCGGTCTGTGGGTCAAAGTTATGCGGACGTCACACCTGGACCCCAATCCCATCCGAAATCCGATCCAGCTTTGCGAAGAAAGACCCGTTGCGTCGGCTCTGCCCACGTGTTCGGGTTGATGGTAGCTGGAACGATGTGTGGGTATAGCGCAGACTATTCGAAGATCCTGGTGGCTCATGTTTCGTGGCATCACTGAGAGGGCCGGACGTACCTGACGACGAGTATAGTTCAGCAATGGCTCGAAGTGAACTTGAACAGTGTTGTTGCCTTGGTGCACCGCTGCCGACACGTTGAATGAATACGACAGGAACGAGCTGGTCGTCGACGCGACGAATTGGCCGTTGACTAAGATCGTTGCTGCACCATCAACTTCGTCCAGTACCAACGTCGTTGGAACACGGGAAGTCATCATGAACGATGTCTCGTACACCCACGTGGCTTGAGCCACCCACTGCAACCGCTCCTCGTTGTACCCCAACAATGGATCGGGAATCACATGAGCATCTCGCAAGTGCGTGTGCGACGTGCCTGGAATTGTCGTCATGATGTCCACTCGGTGATCACCAAGCGCCGGGTCCATCACGTTGTAAAGGCGCCATCGCTGCAGCGGCACGTGTGCACCGCACACACCACCGACCGCTAGAGAAATCCACCACTTCATCTTACTTTAGTTGATTTGTCATGTGTGAATAAAAGTGACGAGGCAGTTGGGTGGAAAACAGAATACCTCTGTAATATTATCAACCGTAAAGTCTCCGACAATTCAATACATGGAGACCATTATTTTAGCAAGGTATAGTTGTTCCAGCTGCAACGAAATGCAAGAACAGATACATTAGATTCCACAATGTATCATTTCTTGTCATTTGACAGGACGTCAATACCAATCTAGTCACAAGAGAACA